TTTTTCTTAATTTTTATTTATTTATGTGTGTGTGTGTGTGTGTGTGTGTGTGTGTGGCCAGTTTAGCCCACCAGGGGGCGGGGCTGGCTGGCATGTGGTGCTGGGGGATTGAACCGCGGTCCCTGTGCTTTGCTTTGCTAAGCTTGTTCTAAGTAGGTGCTTTAGACCACTGAGCCATTTCACCAGCCCCTCATATAAAATCTTGAAGTGGTTAGAAGTGAGAATCCTATGCCTTGTCTGTTATTGTTGCTATAGTAAAATACCTGAGACCAAGTTTATAAAAAACAGACTCACAGACTTATCTGACTCAGTTCTGAAGTCTCAGAAATGCAGGAGAATGGCACTGACATCTGCTCAGCATTTAATGGAACTTTCTTCTAATGGTGGAGGGCAAGACAGAGCAAGTGTGTTAGTCAGGCCTTTCATAAGCCACTTAGCCCATTGTGGGGTCCTGCCCTCTAAACCTTGTTTAATCTTAATTACTTCCCAAAGGCTTCTTTACCATACACCATTAAAGTATGAATTTGAAGATTGAGTTTTCAACACAAGAACTTTGGGGGACATGTTCAAACTGTAGCTCCTTGTTTAATTTCAGGGAACAGTGAAGTGCTATGGCTAATGAGGAATGAAATGTTTTGTTTTGCTTTGTTGTTGTTCCCCTCCTCACCCTTTCACATTAACTGTGTATAATAAAATAGGCATCTATCTATCTATCTATCTATCTAGACAGGGTCTTGCTACACAGTTTGGGCCAGCCTTTTGCTCATTTTTGTAGTCCCCAGGCTGATCTCAAGCTCCTAGCAATCTTATTGTCTCAACCTCCCACATGCTGGGATTACAGGTGTGCACCACTACACCTGGTCCCAGGGCTAGCACGGCATGTATGCCCAGGATTATGGGGCCAGCTGATATGGCATGCAGGTATGCGGATCGAATTTGGGGCCTTGTGCTTACCAGGGAGGTGCTTATGCCTCTGAGCTATCTCCCTAGCCCCAGTTTTCCATTTAAACTATATAACTTTTTTGTATTTTTTTCCATTAGTGCCTTTATGTATTAAATTATGCAAAAGAAAGCTTAAAAAATAGCATTACTGAATAAATATTTGGATTCTTTTCTCATTCTTTGCTCTGAGTGAATGTAATTGTTTATTTCAATGATTTTGGTAATTACCACTAGTTGCATAGAGTAGGTCCCCTTATCCATGAGGAATATGTTTCAAGCCCCTTGGTAGATGCCTGAAACTGATATAGTATCCATCCTTTGTACAAGCACTACAATTCTGTGGCCTTTGATCGCATAGCTGAGTTAACTTCTGTTGCTTTCTTTTGGTTGGTGTCTCCATGGTGTGTCTTCATTCCTTTATTTGAAACCTATATCAGTCTTTACATTTAAAATAATTTTCCTATAGATAACATAAAGTTGGGTTTGGTATTTGATCCATTCTGATAACATTACTCTTTGGTATATTTAGACCATTGATGTTTAAAGTGAATATTGATATAGATTATTATCTACTATATTTATCATTTCTGTTTATTTATTTATTTCAGAACTGGGGATTGAACTCAGACCCTTGTGCTTGCCAGGGAAGCACTTATTCTACTGAGCCATCTCCCTGGCCCCTCATTTCTATTTATTGCTCTTGTTCTTTGTTCTTGTTTTTTGTCTTTCATTTTTTCTTTCTTTTGTGCTTTCAGTTGAGCATTGTATTTTGTTTTATTTTATTTTTATCGTGCCTCAGGTTTATTTGTACAAAGAGCACAGGAGGACACTAGACCTCCACAGATGGCACCCCAGGAGTCACACCAGTCTTTCTCTTTTTACATCAACAGATAAGAGACTTACTGTAGAGCCTTCACAGGGGCCTGGGCACCTTTGGAACTCTGGGCTGGAGCAGGAGCTGGAGCCTGGGCCTTGGCTGGAGCCTGGGCCTTTGGCCAGCAAAGCCTGTGACCCTTGGCAATGCAGGCACAGATACGATTCCCAAGGGGGTGGGCAATATAGGCAAGTCAAGTGAGCCTGCGGTTTACTCCCCTTGGGATGATCTTGGACTTGACCTCCTTGGGCTTGACAAGGGCCTTGATGTCCTTGGCACATTCACTCATGGCCTTGGCATTGTTTGCCTACCTCTTCTTGAAGCCCTTCTTGTTGTGCTTCTTGGCAAAATGCATGTTCCTAAGGAATTTGGGCTCTACACCCTTCAGAGATTTGGATCTTTGCAACTGAGGTTTCTTGATGCGATTTCTGTGCCATTTTCGGGACTGGTTTTGTGTAGTGTGGTTCTTGGACTTGGCCATAACTGCACTGTAAACTGTGGCTGCCTGAGTTGAGCATTTTATATGATTTAATTTTTATCTCCTTTTTCCTCCTAGTTTTTATTTTTTATTTGTATATGTTTGCATAACCTAATATTTACATTCCATGTAGGGAATTGGTACATGTATATAGTACATCTCAGTTCTTTTTTAATTAATTAATTAATTTTTTTGTGGCTGGCTCATTCCATCCTGGGGGCAGTTCTGGCATAGTATGTGGTGCCAAGGATTGAACCATGAACCATGATCCCTGCATGCTTGCCTAAACTTGCCTAAGCAGGCGCTTTAGACTGCTGAGCTATCTCGCTGGCCCCTCCCAATTCTTTTTTCACCCCCTTTCCCTTTCCTTCCTACTACTCCTTCCATCTCTTTAATTCCCTTCCCATTTGAAAAAGAGCCATCTCCCTACTTCTTTTTTTTTTTTTTTTTTTTTTTTTTTTTTTTGGTGGAACCGGGGATTGAACTCAGATCCTTGCCCTTGACAGGGAAGCACTTATTCCACTGAGCCATCTCCCTAGCTCCAATCTCCCTACTTCTTATTATGTGTCTTTTATTTTGCTCTTTATTTTGGTTTCTCTTACAAGAGAAACCATATGATATTTAAGTGTGTGTCTTATTTCTCTTGACATTATGCTCTCGAGGTGCATTCATTTTCCTACAAGTGACTCATTTACTGTTCTTCATGGCAGAGTAATATTTTATTGAATGAATATAAATGTCACATTTTCTTTATTCATCTGTTGACTGACATAGGCCATTTCCAAGATTTAGCTATTATGAATTGTGTGGATATAAACATGGGCATGCATGTATTATTGTGACATATCTTTAACTCTTTTTAGGAACATACCTAGAAGGGTTGAATGGAACTTACAGTTTCAGTTTTTTGAGGACTCTCCCCTTTCATAGCATGTCAGTTATCTTTCAAACAATTTTAAAGGTTACCCTTGTATATGCAATATACATTTGTAAGTATTGCAATATATATTTACAACTAATCAAAATTCACTTTAAAATAAATGTAATATTTCATGGGTAGTACAAGCACATTGTACAAAATATTCTTAAATATTCATTTTATTTTATTTTATTTTTATTTTTGCAGAACTGGATATTGAACTCAGATCCTTGCGTTTGCCAGTCAAGCGCTTATCCTACTGAGCCATCTCCCTGGCCCCATAAATACTCATTTTATTTCTGCAATTATTGCTGTCATCCATCTCATTTGTATGTAACCATATATAAGCATGTATATCTAGGTGTATATAGTCATATAATTGTTGCTATTATTACTTTTAGCAATCTGTTGTCCTTCAGATCACCTGAGAATAAAAAACAAAAACGCCAAGAATGGTGGTATGTGCTAGTATTTCCAGCTTCTCTGAAAGCTGAGGGAGGATGATTGTTTGAGCCCAGAAGTTCAAGACCAACCTCAGCAACCTAGAGAGAGCTGATCTGAAAACAAAGAAACCAATCCATCAATACGTCCTTTTATTTTGTTTTCACTTATTCTATCCCAGGTTCTCTTCCTTTATTTAGATTCAGGTTTACAGCCTATGCAATTTTTTTTTCTCCCCAATGAAATACTTTTAAATTCTTAAAATTATTTTATAGTACTGGGGATTGAACTCAAGGCATCACACATGCCAGGCAATTGCTTTATCAAGCTCAGTGAATTCATTGTTGTTTTTAATCCCCAGTTTGGTAATTCCAGCATTTTAAATGCCTGAGTCTGATTCTGGTGCTTGCTTTGGTGGACTGGATAAAAGAAACTGGTTAATAGGCTTGTAATGAAGTGATGTGATAATTAGATGTGGAGGGAATTACCTGTTACCTTTCATTAGGTTTCAGTCTTTTAGTAACCATGTGCCCCTTGGCTGTGAACTTCATGAGTTATTCTTGATTTTTCCCTCTGCAGTAGACAGTAGTTGAGTAGTTTTTTTTTCTCTCAAGTAAGTTAGGCTGTGATGAAAACCCTGAAACTTAGGTTTTGGTAAAACATTTTCTTTCAAGGATAGGCTTAGTTAAGAACAAAGTGCTCTGGAGTATTTCCCTTCCTTTGGCAGAAGTTCAGGGGATTTTTTTTTCTGGTAAATCACTGTAAATATCTGATAGAGCTCTTAGAGGTAAAAGTTCCAAAGTGTAGAGATTGCTCTATGAATTTATTTATCATATTAACTTCTTGTGTTACAATAAAACCCTATAAAGCTTGTGAACTATAATTTTTTTATGTATTTAGTACAGGGGCTACAGGATTTCACTACACAGATCAGACTTGTATTGATTCTCCAGTTTTCAGCCTCCTAAGCATTGGAATTACAGGTGTGCACTGCCATGCCCAGTCTCAGTGTCTGTCTCAGCGCGCCCCAGGGGCAGGGCTAGCAAGGCACGCTGGGCGAACCCTGGTCCCAGTGTCTGCCTAAGCAGGTGCTTTAACCCACTGAACTGTCTGGCCGGCCTGTGAACTCTGTTTTTTTATTTTTGTTTTTATTTTTATTTTTTTGCGGTACCAGGGATTGAACTCAGGACCCTGCACTTGCCAGGCAGGTGCTTATTCTACTGAGCTATCTCCCCAGCCCCTCTGTTTTTTTATTTATACAAATTTGAACTAAAGATTTCTTTGTGTGAATATTCAGAGATTTATTTTAGCAGTGGTTTCCATTGATTTTTTTCTTTTCTCTGTAGTACTTGGACCATGAGACTGTGTCAGCCACTTTCATTGATAGCAGTGGACAATTTGTTTCCTCCCAAGCTACGGGCATAAGCCGGAATGCTTACTGTGGCTATGAGCACCAGACCCTGTCCAGTCGGGAGCGAATGGAAGAGGACTCTTTGTTGGCGGCCTTGCAGTGGCAGGTGCCTGACGTGGGCCTAGTCCCCTTTGTGAAGAGCACCAGTCCTTCTTCGAGCTACTTTGTCATCTTGAATTCTGCAGCCTTCTTCAAGGTGGGAAGTCAGCTGGAAGTGCTGGTTCACGTGCAGGATTTTCAAAGAAAGCCCAAGAAGTATGGTGGAGATTACCTGCAGGCCAGAATCCACTCCCCGAAGCTGCAGGCAGGGGCTGTGGGCAAAGTGGTAGACTACCAGAATGGGTTTTACAAAGTATTTTTCACTTTGCTCTGGCCAGGCAAAGTTAAGGTGTCTATATCTCTGGTACACCCAAGTGAAGGGATCAGGGTTCTTCAACACCTACAGGAAGAGAAACCAGACAGGGTCTATTTCAAGAGTCTGTTCCGTTCAGGAAGAATTTCTGAAACCACTGAGTGCAATGTATGTCTTCCTGGGAGTCTGCCTCTGTGTAACTTCACAGATCTGTATACTGGAGAGCCCTGGTTCTGTTTCAAGCCCAAGAAGCTCCCATGTAGCAGCAGAATTAACCATTTCAAAGGTGGATACCTCAAGGGCCTCCTAACTGCATCAGAGAGTGCTTTCTTCCAGAGGTATGTGTTCTTTGTTTCAGGGGTCATTCACAAGTCCTTCCACTTTCCTTGTCCCATTTCAGAAACTTTCTTATTTTGAGTATGTACTCCTTATCTCTCTCTGCTTGACCCAATTCAAAAGGTAGTAAATAAGAAAATAAACTCCGATTTAGTATTTTATTTTTTTTATTTATTTATTTATTTTTATTATTATTATTTTTTTAATGTGTGTGTGTGGCCAGCTCAGCCCACCAGGGGGCGGGGCTGGCTGGCATGTGGTGCTGGGGGATTGAACCGTGGTCCCTGTGCTTTGCTGCGCTTGTTTTAAGTAGGTGCTTTAGACCACTGAGCCATCTCACCAGCCCCTCCGATTTAGTATTTTAAAAGGGAAATTTAGTGCTTATCCAAGATCAAGTTAAAGACCACCTACTGTTGAGCTTTTATTCTTACCCTGATAATTGTTTTACTTCAGAACCACCCACAGTATTTATAACTGTGGGTGAGATTACTTATTTACAGAACAGATTTTAAAATATCATCCAGTTAAAACTAGGAAGGGGGATTAGAGATGGAGGGAAAGAGGGATGGGAAAGTAAGAGAAAGTGAAAAGAATTAAGACATGCTGTGCACATGTACCAGCTGCCCATGATGAATGTAATCATTATGTGCAGCAAATATGTCCTAATAAACATGAAAGCATTATCCAAGAACAGGGTTGTTAGGGCTTCGGTAGAACAACTATTGATAGGAAAAAGAGACTACAGATGGCATTGTTGGCTTAAGCACAGAAAGTCAGGTATGCCACAGAAAACTAATTTTTAAATTAACAGTTATTGTAATTGCGTTGTTGGCACTCAGATTCCTATTTTGAATGTAAGCTTAAAACATTCTCAGCATTGTTAGAGCTTGTGTCCAGATGTCTTCCTAAAGCCTCATACAGTTATAGGTGGGGCTTTTTCAGAGGTGGGTGGATCTAGAGTGTGTGATGCTGGAATTAATTTCATGGTGCAGTGCTAGTCTCAAGGGTACTAGGATTAAGGTGCCATAGGGAGTCTGGATAAAATAAAAGGGACAGAAAGATGCTGTTAAGGTTTCTTATTGTTTTGCTACCTTGGACCTAATCTGAACTATACTCTATGAAGCATCCTACTTTGCAGCCAGCCAATTATGGACTAAAGCCTCTCTGAACTGTGAGTTAATAAACCTTTTCCTTTTAACTTGTGGTGCTGGATATTTTTGTTTCAGCAGTGAGAAAAGTAACTGAGACAGGATTTGGTACCAGAAAAGTGGTATCATTGCTGTGATTGTACTTGACCCTGTGGCTTAATACTCTTTGCAGCTGGCTTATGGAAAGGGCAAGAGTTAGGAAAGATTCAGAGATGCCAACTGAAAAAGTGGAGCTGGAATGTGGTACTTGATCTTGGGAGATCTTGGTCAGAGCTCAGAAGATGAGAAGACTGATAGAAATCCTGCTGGTAAAGACCAGGCTCAGGAGGTTTGTGTTGGGAAGGACTACATTGGCTATTGTCCAGACAGTTTGTGTAATACTTGGGCAGAAAACTTGCCTGCATTTTCTTGTGTCTAGAGACTTTGCCTGAGACTGAGATTAAGGGTGGTGGACTAATTAATCGAGCAGAAGAAATTTCAAGGCAGTCTAATGTTGGGGCAGTGGAATAGCTACTATGGTGTGCTTTTAGCCAGATCTATGTTGAAAATCAAGAGCAAAGAGCCCAGAAGAATGATTGAAAATGTTTTGAGTTTGGCCAGAAAGGAAGCTATAGTAAAGTTGTGGACTGCAAAGGTAGAGCAGAGGAGATTTTGATTGCTGAGAAGGAACAGGAGAATGGAAAAGATGGCTTGAAGGCATTACAAGAAGCAGCAGGACTACACCTTTGTAGCCGACAAAAGTGAAAGATTACTTTGAGAGCCCAGACCACTGTGTTCCAGAATGGCAGTATCCTAAGGAAGTTGTTCCTTGGGATTTGGTTCATAGGTACTGGACCCCTATTAGTGAAGAGAGGAGGCCTGTCTACCGCTTGTGCTTGTAGCAGACCTTGGCATCATGCACTTGGTGCTGGTTTTAGGTGCAGGCAGAATGGAAGAGTTGTGAGTTCAGGAACATTTCAACTCAGATTTCAGAAGAAACCCTGGGAGGCGAGCAGTGTGTTCCTGAGAGAGCAGTGTGTACAGCTGTTAGTATGACGCTGAAGATGCAATGGAGACTCCAGAAGTCTAGAGAAGCCAGGAAAACTGCAGAGGGAACAGAGCCAGCCCAAGAGAGAAACCAGGGGAGCCACAACCACTGGAAGTGCAGAGCTACCCAAGCCCCTTGCAGTTCACATCTTGCCACAGATGACCTGGGATGCTGCACATGGAACTATAGGACTTAATGTTTGCCCTGTTGGATTTTGGTCTTGGTTTGTCCTTGTTACCCATGTATAACTTTTGTAATGGAAATGTCTATCTTGTACCATTGAGTGTTGGAAGTATTTAACTTTCTTTTCATTGGTACAGAGGCTTACAGTTAAGAGTTTGCTTTAAATATCAGAGGAAACTTTGGTTTTAGACTTTTCCAAGCAGTGCTGAAATTGTTAGGACTTTGGCAACCCTTAGAAATGGACTAAATGGCCAGGGAGATGGCTCAGTTGAATAAGCGCTTCCCTGGCAAGCACAAGGGCCTGAGTTCAAGCCCTGGCTCTACACACACACACACAAAAAAAGAAATGGACTAAATGCTTTCTGCATAAGGGGATGTTCATGAGTCTTTGAGAGGCCACGGGCAGTGTTGTGGCTTGAGTCATAATATGGCTCAAAACCTCATGCATGGAGTCATAGGTTGGGCTTTTTTAGAGGTGGGTAGATCTAGAGTGTGTAACACTGGAATTGATTAATGGTGTTAATCTCAAGGGCACTAAGATTAAGGGTGTGAGTGCTACCTGCCCTAAATCCTCTGGATAAGATAAAAGAAACATGCTTTTAAGGTCCCTGTTGTTTTGCTACCTTTTGCCAGCCATGAACTCTTCACTTTGAAGCTATCCTACCCTGGAGCCAGCCAGTTAAGGAATGAAACTTCTCTATAAACTGTGAACTTTTTAGCTTTTTCTCCTCTAACTTATGGGTATTGGATATTTTGTCTCAGCAATGAGAAGAGTGAGACAAGCATAATAGAATAATGGGGAAATGGAATGTATGGAATCATGAATTGAAAATTGCGTTTTCAATATTCCATGTGGTTCTGAAGTAAAACAACACTCCAAGAAATAAAAAGTTATGTTGGATTGGAGGAATAACTTTTAATGTTTTATAGCACAGTAGCATAACTATGGTTGACAGCAGATTATTATTATTATTATTAATTTATTTTGGTATGGGGAATTGAACTCCAGACCTTGGCCTTGCCAGGCAGGTGTTTATTCAGCTGAGCTATATCCCCATCCCAGCAGTTAGCTATTTTGAAATAACTAGTAAAAATGATTTTAAATACTTCCAACACATATAATAAATGCCTGAGATAATATGCCAGATACCCTATTCTGGTTATCGTACCTTATATATACTGTATGTACTGAAAAGAGACATTATACATCTTAGGACTGTACAATTACTTTATATGAATTAAAAATAAAAATTTAAAAAAATAGAAAGTCATGGAAGCTACATGGTGAGAAGGCACAATTATTTGAACATATATGTGTATGTCTATATATATATTTTACTTTTTAATCAAATAATACATCTTTTTGGTTTGTTTGTGTTTTTACTTCTTGAGACATGGTGTTGCTTTGTGGTTCATGCTGGCCCTGAACTCTGTATAATCCAGAATAGCCTTGAACTCTCAGCAGTATTCTTGCTTTAGCCTCTTGAGAGGTGGAATTATAGATATGTGCCACCATACCTGGCCTCAAATAATACACTTTCTAAACATTCTGTTGGGGAGTCATTTTCATTCAGTACATTTGGGTACCCTAAAAAATCTCATATTTTATATCTGTTCTCCATGGCAGGGAAAAAGTTGCTCTCATAAAATAAGTGGTCTGTAGGAACTCCTGAACTAAAACCCTCTGATTTCCATTTCTGAAGTCATGAAGAAATATACACATATAAAAATTTAATAAATAATTTACAATATTGAATCAGTTTCATGCAATAAAGACAGTTTGATAATGTCCTTTTTCTTTAGTTCTCTCTTGAGCTTTACCCAGAGATAGAAACATATTTTTCATTATAATAAAAATTATATTGTAAAAAATTAGAAAATTTCCTATTTGTATATAAAATTATTTGGACCTTAAAAGTTATTTCAGAGGCTGACAAGATAGCTCAGTGGACTAAGTGCCTGCTTAGGAAAACTCAGGGACTGGGGTTGATCCCTGGTATCACATGCAGTGTTGGCTCCACTTCTAGGCCCGCTGAGCAGACCATGGAGACTGAGTGTGGTAGCACATTCCTGTAATACCAGTGCTGGGAAGGCTGAAAACAGGAGTCCAAGTTGCATAGAGAGACCCTGTATCAAATACATTTTAAAAAAAGATAAAAAATTTAAATAATATAGTGAACTTGTTGTGTGTGTGTGTGTGTTTAGTACAGGGACTACAGAGTCTCACTACATAGATCGGACTTCTAGTGGTCCTCTTGTTTACAGCCTCCTTAGAGCTAGGACTACAGGCGCGTGCCACCACACCCAGTTTCAATTGCCATCTCAGCTCGCCACGGGGGGCAGGGCCAGCATGGCAGGTCTGGGGATCGAATCCTGGTCCCTGTGCCTGCCTAAGCAGGCGCTTTAATCCGCTGAGCCGTTTGGCGGGCCCTAATATAGTGAACTTTCGGAGGAAATATTTAGACAAGATTACGCTATATTTTACTAAGTTTTGAAGGTTTACAGTTCTAGTTAAAGAGTATTTAAGCCAGTTTTCTGGAAACTAGAGACATACATGTTTTAATGAATTCCTGAAATGATGGATAGCAAAGCAGACTCTGTACTCTCCATTATGGGAGAAATGCTTGATTTTTCTTTTTTTTTC